CAAAGTAGATGTAGCGAAAAGGAAAGACCAGATGAATGTTCTCAATTATGTGCACGTGAAGAAACTCTATGTTGAAGACGATGAACCTAAAGCTGAGGTAAGCGTGCTTATGCTTTTTTTATTTGTGTACACTCTCAAATTTTTGAACTTTTCAGCTGATCTGGGGTGTTGTCTGCAGTAAGAGTGTATTACATGAGTCTATGGCTGAGCCACTTCGTGATGCATCTGTTATGATTGTAGCTGGCTCGATTGAATATGAAAGAGTGCCAGGACGTTTATCCACGCTTGAGCCAATACTGTGTCAGGAGGGCGAATTTCTGGCGAAACAGGTCTTCATCTGCATTTTTTCCCGTCTTTTGAGTGCTTACTGTCGACGACAAGTCATTAAGTTTTCGAGTTCTCTTTTCTTTTCCAGGTTGGACGAATAATGTCACGACGACCATCTGTACTTCTCGTTGAAGGAAACGTTTCGAGATTAGCATCAAACCTTTTGCGCGATGAAGGTGTTCGGCTAGTTGTGAACGTTAGCGCGCGGTATGTCATCAAGTTTTCCGTTCATTTTTTTCCAAAATCTCTTTCTCCTATGTTTTAGTGTACTTCATCGTGTGGCTCGCTCCACTGGAGCCGATATCTTGCCTAGTTCTGATGCGCAGTTGATCCAGCAAAACATTGGTTTCTGCCCGTTTTTCACGCAAAGATCTGTCGCGTTGAAAGATGGTCATCAGAAATTACTTCTCGTAAGGTTCTTCTCATTGTTTAAGGTTTTGAGAGTACTCTCGCACTTCGTTTCTGTCTCAGATTCTCGACGAATGCCCACCAGATCGGGGATGTAGTGTGTTGGTCAAAGGATCAAATGCTCGCGAACTGAAAGCAGTGAAGGTAATTGAATCGCTTCTTTTCTTCTCCATGATTTCTTCTTATTTTCACTTTACCTTTTCAATATTTTATCTTTCTTGCGTACTTTTTTCTTATAAGTTGTTATTTTTCTATCCGTTGATAAACGTAATTTTAGCGAATTCTTCTGTTTCTTACTTCTCTGCTGTACTCCTCTCGCCTCGAAAAGGTGTTTCTCAACATGTTCAATG